TATTTATTCATACGGAACTGGGGTACAGGCCAGAGATGTGGATGGTGAGAGGCTTCACCAGAGACAGAGCGGGGAGCAGAACAGGCCAGATCGACAAAGCACACTGCTGAGGGGAGCAGCAGGCAGACCAGGAGAGGTCTACCTCGCCATGTGGATCTCCTCCGGGGCAGGCGGGGATCGAACTCATGCGGAAGTGGTTCTAGCTACTCAGTGCTGTGTTTCAACCCGCTGTGCCACCAGGGAGGGCCTTCTTGTACTATTTTTATCTAGTTTTAAATCAAAGTACTATTGGCATCTTAAAACATATTCGGGGACATTTCCTCTACTTGCTTTTTTAAACATAATGTGATGAATTGGGCATAATTTCTTTGCTAAAGATCTATCGAGAACAAAGACATAAAAAGCAGCTATATGTTAAAGAACAACTACATGTTTTTGATTGTCTCATGTCTATCATCTACTGCTTTTTGTTTAAAGGTTAGTATATATGATGGACTATTTTTGTGCACTGTTGGTCGATTTGATCTCAAACTCACGTTATTACTTTCCTCCTACACACATAATTTGATTGTCTGTTTCCTCTATGTCTTTTGCTTTTAGTACTTCTTTTATGTCTAGCTTGGTGTTCATACATTGTTTCAGTTTTGAATTTTCAATAATGTTCTTTTTTTTGGTTCGGAATGATAGCCTTGCAGAGTAGAATATTCTACACGTGAAATCCTTGTCCTCTGAGTACTTCAGTTATTTCTTGCCATTCCCTCCTTGCCTGTAAGGATTCTGTTGGAAAGTACATGAATAGTCTTATCGGTTTTACTGCTCTTTCCCTTGATTCTTTTTAACATTCTATTCTTGTCATTAACTTTCAACAAATTTATTTGAAATGTCTTAGAATGTGTCAGTGTGCTGTTACTTTTTGTCTTAATGTTCTCTGTCAATTATATACAGGCTCAAAATTGGTTTCATTTCAGCAACTCTTTGGGCCTCTTGGTTCATAACTTAAGGTTGAAATGATCCTTAGCAATTATTCCTTTAAATAAAGGTTCTATGTCTTTCTCTTCTCCTTATGGAACTCCCTTGATATGGGTTATACTTGTCACTTGGTTATCCTAAAGAACTGTTACACCATGTTTCTTTTTATTCAGTTTTTTTCTCCTTGTTGATGTGTTTGTGTATTCTCTACCATTGTTTTTTCAAGCTCACTAATTCTCTGCATTACCTTAGTTTATCAACTGTTGATCCAGGTGCTTAGGCTCTGGTTATTGAGAGCATTCAGATGTCTCAGTTTTAGCCCACCGTAGGGATAAAGCAGGTGTTTCAAATATCGCACCAGGCTGAAAACAGTAACCTCTGTAGTTTTCTAATTTGGTTATAGTATTTTTTTAGATCCATAATTCTCATCTTACCCATCGTGTATTTTCTCAATTTTTGTTGTTTACTGTTTTACTATATCTGTTGTTTCTCTTAATGCAGCAAGCATGGTTATAACTGTTAACCTTAAACTCTTCAGGCATATTCCTTAGTCCTGTTGTAAGTCTGAGGGTTTTTTTTTTTCTTTAACTTGGACATTTCTGATATGTTCCTCTGTCTCTTCATTTTTAGTTTTGTATGGGTTATAATATCATATAGTTTCCTTTTCTTAATAAATTGTCCTTATCATCCACCCATAAGAGGCTGGACATAATCATAGGTATCTTACAAAGGATCTTTCAGTATCTGTTATTTCACATATTGCTGCCTTTGCTCCTGTTCATATGGCTCAGATACTGGTGTAATAAGGAGTAATAGAAAGGCATGAATTGGAGCAATAGGTCACTGCAAGGTTACTTCCTGCTGTGGGTACCTGAGTCATATGTGCAGATTGACCGTGATCCTCACGTAGCCTTACCTTATGTGGAGTTTTTGCTCCAGTTCTTAAAATTCAGTGCTTATACTCTGATTATTGAGAGCATTCAGTTGTCTCAGTGTTTGCCTGGGGTAGAGGTAAAGCAGATGTTTCAAATATCACAGCCTCAGGCTGAAAAACTGTAGTCTAAGAGGAGACACAGTTGGTCCCCACTGGTTTGGGTTTTGATTGTTCTAGACTAGGATCCTCCTGCTCAAGCCAGTAACCATCACCTCTAGTTAGCCCATACTGCACACCGTGTCCTGTATGTCAAGTCTGAAATCCTCCAGTGCAGAATCCAGTCCCCTGTGTGAATGTGAGCCTGAGTTAAAGGCAGAGGGCCTTTGCCCTTTGCTCCCCTGGGTAGCGCTCTCATGCTGTTGCTGCAGTGCAGTTGAAGCATAGTGTTTCCTGCCACTTCTGCTGCATTCTTTCTCCTGATGTATGCAGTAGTGTCTGTTTATCTTTTAGGAGCTGTTGACTTTTGTTTTGTTGTAATTTAGTTTGAATATGTGAGGCCAGGAATTGGGTTTTCATCTGGCCACCATCTTGCTGGTCTTCCTTCTTTTCTTTGATGTGGTTTAACTGACATATAACATTACATGAGCTTTATGAGTTTTCTCTCTGTGTGTGTCCATCTGTCCATCTATCTGTCTGTCTGTCTGTCTGTCTATCTATCTATCATCTATCTATCTATCATCTATATATATCTTCCTAGTGCAATATGGTTACCCCAATAAATTTAGCTAACATTTGTCACATTTTTTTTCTTTTGATAAAAATTTTAAAGATTCACTTTCTTAACAACTTTCACATATGCAATACATATTACTAGCTATAGTTCCATGCTATAGATTATATCCCAGGACTTTTCTATTTTATAAATTTGAAGCTTGTACCTTTTGACACCTTCACCTTATTTTAAACACTCCTTACCCCACACTTCTGATTACTACCAGTCAGTTCTTTTTTTTATAAAAATGTAGAAGCTTGGGGGTTTTTTTTAGAGTTCACATGAGGTGAGATCATATGACATTTGTTTTTCTCTCTCTGACTTATTTCATTTTGCATAATGTCCTCAAGGTCCATCTGTATTGCAAATAGCAAGATTTCATTCTTTCTTCTGACTGTGTATGGCTTTTCCGTGTGTGTGTGTGTGTGTGTTATGCACACCACATTTTCCTTTATTAACTCACTAATTCATTGATGTATATGTAAGTTGTGTCCATATCCTGGCTATTATAAATGTTACATTGGACAAATTGGATAAATTCTCAGAGGTCCAGTTTGGGATTGCTGGATCATATTATAGTTCTGTTTTTAAATTTTTGAGGACCATTTATACTATTTTTAGAGTCAATGCACTGAGTGACATTCCTATGAATGTCACTTGTTATTTCCTGTCTGCTTTGACAAGTAGATATTTTATTATGCCAATTTACCAGGCAGGAAACTGAGACTGAATGGGGTTAATAGGTACAGAATTACAGAATAAATAACATTTGTTTAACAGTTCAAAGTATGTAAATATTTTATATTCTGTATGTTTGCTCCTTCCCTTATGTAATAGGCGGCCTAAGTATCATTATCACTAGCTTATAGATAACTATGAGTTAGGAAAACTTGCTTGGGTAGGCACTATCAAATAGTAAGCAATTCAGCTCTCTAACAGTCCTCTACCAGGATGCTTTCAGTGTTCGCCATAGCTAGTGGGCACTTCAGATCTGAGTACCCTGTTACACAAACGGAAACAACAGTATCCCAAGCAGGTCTGTGACTCAGAAAGAAGATACCAGCTTGCCAGTTATGATCTGTATGTTACTTTATGTATTGTCTGCATTCTAGCATACATATTCACTTGCTTTTGAGAATCTCCAACTGTCCTAAAGATGATGACCCACTCTTAAGGTTAACACTTCCTTTTGCTGAAGTAAATACTAGGTCTTACTAGAGAAGTAAGGTGTAATATTTTAATTTGTTGTTAGAAATCTTGATGCTATACTGAATAATTTTTTTTTCATCCTTTTGAGTAACATTAACGTTTAAGGTCTTTATCAAATAAAAATAGAATTTACAGCATTTAAATATGTATTTATTTTTGTTGGACTGTTACACCATATTTTCTCCTAAATATTCACTTAAATCACATGGAAGTCTGCCTGAAATGGCATTTTCATGACAATTCTGGGAACCATTCCTTTGATTGTATGATATTACTGCTGATATATGTGGCCTGGTATTTCTTGCTTTCAGCATACATAAATTTTAGTGGCATCTTAACTACCATAGAGTGGAACTAACTGATGGTAAATCAAGCATTTTACAACATATTATTGGGAATGTTGTATTCGTTACTATAAAGATATATATTTGATCAGTATTTACGGAGCTTTCTAACACTGTAATTTATTGGTATGTCTTAATGTTCTCTATTAATTATATACAGGCTTAAAATTGGGTTCATTTCAGCAATATATAGTATATGTTAATGACTTTTTTCCACACCAAAAAGAGTAGCAAAAATCTAATCTCTGATTAGAACTATTAAACCCAACAGTTTGTATATAATAAACATAGCCTTAATTATATAGTCAACGGGGTAGTTCTTCCTCTACCATAGGAACTATATGTTAGAATAAAGTTATTTTGATATATAAGATGCCAAAGGAAAAATGGCTAACAAGAAAGGTAATAGTGTTCTATGTGCTTAAGATGTCTCATATATGAATTCTAATTCACAATCATTTTTTTATAGAGAATACATAAATTGGTTTTTATTTTTAGTTCCTTCTCCTCCCTTCAGAGTTAAGTGATGGAAAATGACTCTCAATCTCCAAGCTACTCTTATGCATCATTCAAAATAGCCCTGACAGTTTAGTCCCTCTGGTAGTGGTGAGATTTATGACTCTCCATTCCTTGGTGTTCCATTACTCTATCTGCACCATCAAGTTGATTAGTAGGCAGTGGAGGCAAGAAAAAAGAGGCCATCACATAGAGCCAGCTGGTGTCCATCATTTTAATGAACTGCTTAGAGATGGTTAATATTGTTCTTGATTCTCATTGTAGCTGATGATGACAAAGCTTTTAACGTGTGTTTCTCTCTCATTCTGTGTTGCAGGGCCCACTGGAAAATGATTTGGTCGTTCATGTAGCACTTGTAGCTGAAAGCCAGCGGTATGAATCCAGATGGGTGGTGTGTCCTTGGAGGGGAGGGAGAGGAGCTGAATGCTTTATGCTTATACTATTGAGTGTGATCGAAGATACTAATTCACAGGCCCTTTGACAGGGTTTTAATGTCATTAAGGTTATGAACATCACTTTTAAGTCTTCTCATGTTTAAATACATTTGCTTTTGTTGATGTGCATATTAAAAACTGTGACCAGTGCCGATGTTGCCTGGGGTATAGCTTTGAGAAATAATGCAAACAGACCTGTGCTTGCCCTCTTTTTTTTTTTTTTTTTTAAGATTTATTTATTTGTGCATACAGAACTGGGGTACAGGCCAGAGGCTCAGGGGCGGCGAGAGGCTTCACCAGAGACAGAGTGGGGAACAGAACAGGCAGATCGACGAAGTACACTGCTGAGGGGAGCAGCGGGCGGGTCAGGAGAGGTCTGCCACGCCATGTGGTCACCTCCGGGGCAGGCGGGAATCGAACTCATGGGGAAGTGGCTTTAGATTCTCAGTGCTGTGCTTTAACCCGCCGCGCCACCAGGGAGGGCCGCTTGCCCTCTTTTTTCATCCTAGGGTACTCATCCGATGTTTGTGGAGAGCCCATGAGGGCCTCTAGATGCCAGTGCACATGGCATGCCACTCGCATTAATAAATTAATACTGTGCTCATGTTAACATTATCTCCTCCCTTTTGTCTCCTCCTTCATATGTCTCTTCTTTTCTGTTATTTAGCCTGCAAGTTTTCCTCAACACATATGGTATTCAAACTCAAACCCCTCAACAGGTAGAGCCCATTCAGATATGGGCTCAGCAGGAGCTTGTGAAAGTAAGTGATTGTGCTTTTTTTCTCCTTTGTAGAAGTGTTAGACTTCTGTGCAGTCAAGGAGCATTGTTAAAATTCAGCTCTAACATAGGATCATTACTGCAGAAATCTTTTTAATTAAGTTGGAAAACCTGTTTTATCAGATATTGTTACTAAAAGACAAATGCACTGTGTGTACATATCACATTCATAGGTATTGTTGATTCCTACTTGTTACTAAAATGTCTCTTGCTAACCTAGACTGAGCACTCAAATGACAAGTTACCCTTAGTTTTAGTAGTTGCATGTAAAATTAACCTTTACATTTATTCATTTTCCTTTTTATTAACTATTAGAAAACTTCACCTAATCCTTTGATGATAAAACTACTTCTCTTTTTATTTTGCCTTATTACTTGGATTACGAAGTAAATCCTATCCCTTTGGTTTTCTGGGCCCCCAAATAATTATAAGGTAATATCTGAGTTTATATTTGATGCCGTTACATACCTATTTGGGATGACATGGAAAGGTGACTTTTGACGCCTTTTACATGTACTGATGTGCAAATGGATCTGAAGTACTTATATCTAGGAATATTCCTTCTCATTAGGTGTAGGAAATTGTGAGTTTCTACTAAGTACTCATAAACTATCATTTTTATTTGTCAACTGTTAAAAACAACATTGGAACAAACTCTACTGTGTTTGGTAGAAGTGTTCAGTTTCTCTGGAGTGGTGGAAACTGTCATTGAGGTTGATATAAAAGCTTGTGGTCAAAGCCTTAATGTTGCAAACAATAATAAAAGTGTAGGGGACTGAGAGGCACAAGGCAAAAGCCTCAGAGTTGCTATAAATCAGGCAGGACCTTATGCACTGGCAATGAAACTAAACCCTGGGAGTCAGGTCACCCAGAACACCAGCTCTTCCAAGGCCCATAAACCTTCTAAACCAAAGATAGAACTCTTCCCACCTCACCCACCAATAAAGAAGTAACACTGGATGCAGAGATTCTTAGAGTAGGTGACACTTTAAAATTGCATCAAGATGTGAATGATGAAAAGCTATTTTTTATGGTAGAGGAGTTGTAAATTAGATCAAGAAGGAACTGAAGATCTATCAGACAAAGAGAAGAGGCAGGTGGGGTGAAGGAAATCTAAGGTTCCAGTGCTGCTCTGCTCACTGGGGCACAGTGGTGTTTGCAACACTTTCGTGGTCTTGCGAAAGCTTCAGAGATAGTAACGAAGGTGGCTATTCTGTGATCAAATTGCTCTCGAAGCAAATAAATGTGATTCTGACTTTTGTACATAATTTTTATTAGCAACTGTGTTTTGGTAGGCAAGACTATAACTTTAGTAGGCAACAGGCAAGATTTGGAAGAACAGCACAATTCCAGATGACTTGAATGTGTCATTTCATTCTTTCATTCCTCAGCAAATACCTGCCCAGTCAGACTATTGTGTGGGGCCCTCATGTAAAATGACTCTGTCCATGTTCTCAGTGAGAACATGGCATGACAGAAAAAATAGTTGCTATCCACTTTAAGACGTGCCAAGGTGGTGTTTACGGGAGGTGCTATGGAATTGCAGATGTGGTGGGAAGCATTCTCTTAGAGTGAGGAAAAGACGCGTCACAGAACCCGTCTTATTTTACATCCGGCTGTTTTAAAGATGGTGTTAACAAATGGTTTTCAGTGTGAGTGTATGGTATGGTTAAAAAGATATTTGTGACCAAGAGTCCACCCGTGCACTTGTCAAGATGGCAGACACATCTTATTTTGTACATGTGTTTTTCAAAGACTCAAGAACACCTTCCCTCTGCCCCTCAGAGAGGATGTGATGAGAAACAGCTGAGCTTTTGGTACATGCAGTTAATGACAGTGGTATGACTTGCCTCACTGGGGATCTGAGTGTAGCGCCAATCCTGAATAAGTACTTTGGGGCCATTTGGTTATTACTGCTTTCAGTGCATTGAGCAGTGTCAATGTTTTCAACGGGGGGCAATATTGTCTGTATTCTGAAATGAAGGAAACAATTTCGTCCCGTCTACTTTATTTTCATAGACTTGTTGTGCCTCGACTCAGAAAATTAAGGAAAATCCTTTTACTGTAATAGAGTAATAATTAAAAGAAACCAACTGAGGTCAGTATACTTTATATGGTAGATTAATATGATCATATGTCTAAAAGAAGAAGTCTAAAATAGCTTAAGCATGCATTTGTTTCTGAAAAATTGAAACTATTTAAGGGAAAGGGGGCTCCATCTAGTGTTGTGCACTATAGTTTCAATGCAGCAGTGCGACTTCATGCTTATAAAGCCCTTGTCCTGGCCAGCGGACTTTGTCTAAAGTCATCGCTGTTCCAGAATCAATATTCACAATACATGTTGCTTTTCAGTTGCTGCCTCATTTATCAAGTATTTCCTGAGTACCAGCTATATGTTAGACACAGAGCCAACTCAGGGGGTGTTGTTCTAGGAAAATACAATGCAGGAGGAAAAAGAAACATCAGAGCTAATTCTGCCATAGTTGTGTATGCCATAGCAGAACAAGCAGAGGGTGCTGGTAGTGACATTAATTTTTTTTATACCATGAGGCTGGTATTTGAAATCAATTCAAATCACAATCAGTAGATTGTATAGAAACTATTTTACATTTAGGAAAATTTAGGTTAGATTCTACTTCTCATCAAGTATAGAAATAAATTCCAGAAAGATTAAGGATTTAAATATGTTTTGTGATTTAAATATAAAATCCCTGGGAGAACAGTTTATAACCTTTAAGAGGGGTAATCTGTTCTTAGACCAATACTGGTGTCGAAGGCCATTAAGGAAACATACACAGGTCTCAGAATAACTGAAGAAACTCAACGGGCACCTCCAGCCCCTTTGAATTTCCTAGTACTCCACTGTTTGGGTGCTGAGCCGCAGGCTGTCGTGACGTCTGGCCAGCTGCGCAGGCATTCTCACACTGCATAACAGGGCTGCAGAAGGGGCAAGCTGGCTTCTTCTGCGCGGTGAGTATAGCCGAGAGACTTGTGTGCGTGTCTAGTTCTAGACGACTGTCCTATAGATCTGCAGGCGCTAGCATTGATCCAAAATTTAAGTTGACTTCATTGCTCATTTACTTTTATCCAAGTTTCTTGTTGAGTAGTTTCCCTGGCCTTTGGAAACACTAGAAATTAGCCGAGCAACCGTGGGGCAGCAATAAAAGCAAAAGAGGAAAAGCAGATTCCTCCCTGATCTGCTTTACAAATTTGTGTTTTACAGGCTTATTTCCATCTGGGTATCAATGAAAAGTTGGGGCTCTCCGGAAGGCCAGACAGACCCATTGGCTGCCTTGGGACATCAAAGGTGCTCATGAAATTCCCATGTAGGGCTGTGTTCAGACTGAACTGCCATGACTTGCTATGCATCCTTGTTCACCTTGCATTATATTCTGGGGCTAATTACCAGAATTATTATTTTCTATAAATCCTATTTGTTTCTCATGATATTATAGTCATCTGAAAATGATTAAGAATCTCACTGCTGTATTATTTCTAAGTGGTGTAAGATACCTGATTATAACTATTTACTCATCATAATAAAGGTGGGTTACTTTAAGTTTATTAGCATATTGATTATAATGTTTCAATCAAGGAGCTAAAACTGCTTAATATTAAGAAAGTTTATATGGAAATGGTGCGTGAATAAATTGTTGGTGGGAATTCTGTGGGGACTACATCTGAAAAAAGAAAGCAAATATTGTACAGAAATGAACAATGATGTAAAAACTATGTAAATAAATAAATCATATATTTTTTAAACTATTAAGAAAGTTTCAAGTTTTACAAAGTGTCATTTCATTATCTTATTTAGAAATAAATTTCATTTCTTATTTTTATTAGAACTTATTTTACTATACCTTTGCTATTTTTCCTTTGGTCTGTTTTATATTTATTTTCATAAAATCATCCCTTACAGATTTATCGCATTCTCGGAAAGACTGTGGTTTGTTACCCAATCATCTTTGATTTAAGTGACTTCTACATGTCTCAAGATGTTTTGCTGCTGATAGATGACATAAAGGTAGCTTCTGATCACCTTTTTATTGAGATTCGATGACTTTTTTTTAATGTTTTGTCATGTTATGAAGTGAGTACTCGTAAGTGTCTAGAACACTTGCATAATACATGTAAAACATGAAAGTCTGGGGCCTCCCTGGTGGTGCAAGGGGTTAAGTCTCAGAGCTATAAAGCTATCACCAGCCACTGTGGCATCAATTTGATCATCAGGCAGGTAGCTGACCCACATGGCAGCAGACCTCTCCTGTCTTACCTGTTGCTCCCCTCAGGAGAGCATTTCAGTCAATCTGCCTGTTCTGTTCCCCACTCTGTCTCTGGTGAATCCTCTTACCCCTGCACCTCTGGCCTATACCCTAGTTCTGGTATGCATAAACAAACAAACAAAAAATCTTTGCTAAAAAAGAAAACATGAAAATCAAACAAGATCTGTGTAACTTTAAATTACTTGTAGTATTAGAATAATAGATGGACTCTTAAATAAAATTGTGTAACTTTGCCTGTTCCACCTTTCTACAAGTGAAATGGATAGCTATAGGTGATGAAAGCAGAAAGAAAACTGTTTTGGAAACCATGTTCATCACAGTAATAGTTGATCTCTTCTAGAAAAATGTCAAGAAAAATGTCAACCACCTTATAATGCCCAGTCAGTCACAGTCTCCTTCACACCCTTTTCCAACTGAAGTGAACTTAGAGTCATGATCTAGAGCAAGAAATTTACAGTGTATTGTGTTTGTTAAAGTCTTAGCTCCACTTAGCTCACTAATTATATAATCTTTGGCTTTTTTGAGAATTAAATGTACTAATATATGTAAAACTCTCAAAATAATGCCTGGAAAGTAGTGAGGTATTTACATGTCTTTGATATGATGATGATTATGATTATATAAAGAACAATGGCTGCATTTCTGATTGTTTCCATACATTCAGTTCAATCTCTTCTACTTCTGTAATAATAAATCCACAGTAATATGGAATGAGAACTAATCTTCTAGATGATCAATCACCTTAGGTTGATTTGTTCCATCTCTGAGGCCATTCTCAAACTATATTCGTTAGATTACCAAAATAAGCCTTAGACAGGTGTGACCTGACCTGATTACATTCAAGAACAACGTTGTTGAAATCTAAATAGTTTCTAGCTTAAGTTGTATGTATTCATATTTGCACACATATGCATCTTAGAACATTTCTAACTCTAAATAGTCTATACCATCCAAGATTTGAGTGTGCATTTTCTTGATAGATCAGTTTTGTTGACTTTTTGGCATCAGATACTGTACCATTATTCCTACCTAATTCTTGTTTTGATAGAATGCACTACAGTTCATTAAACAATATTGGAAAATGCATGGACGTCCACTTTTCCTTGTTCTCATTCGGGAAGACAATATAAGGTAGGTTGAACACTGACATTTTGAAGCCTTTGGAAGGCAAGGCCTCCCTGTATTGTTTTTCTCCCTCTTAGTGTTGTGGCAGACTGCTCTGCATATGTAGATTAGATTACTCCTTTTTTATTCTGTTGTTTATATGTACATTTCCTTTGTTTATATTTTTTAGAGGCAGTCGATTTAATCCTATATTAGATATGCTGGCAGCTTTTAAAAAAGGAGTTGTTGGAGGAGTCAAAGTTCATGTTGATCGTCTACAGGTAGTGTTCTGAACTTTAATGTGTTTTTGTTTTTAGGATGATTCACAGATATAGATGTGTTTATTAATGTATGTTCAATTTAAGGATTTTGTCTTAAGATTTTGTTTTGTACCTATCGTCCCATTATTCCCATGTCACTAGTTTATCTGATTCCCTTAAATCTGATGCTTTAACTATTACAATGATGTCACAGCTAGAATCTAGACTTTAATAACTCATCTCTAACTTCAGTTTTGCATATGTGGGAATCAGAGAGCAGAGTAGTGAAATGACCACGATAAACTCTTGGGCTTCTACGTAAAGGTAAAAGTCTCCAGGTCCAGTGCTCTTCTCCCTGTTTCACAGAAATAACTAATCTGAGATAATCCTTATTCCCTCAGAAAACTGCAACATCTAAATAACAGAAGCTCTATGTGATTTTCTATTAATTATAATGGCCAGGCCATTCAAGCTCATTGTTCTTTAGTGTGTACAAATCAACTACTATGTTCTGAACTTTGTGAGCTTCTGCCTTTCTGCTCATGCTGTGTCCTCTGCTTATGTCCTCTGCTTACAATCAACCTGCTTCATGTCCAAGATCTCTGGACTTTGAAGTCTTAGCAAACTTTAAAGTCTAGTTCTTAAAGACCAGAAATCACACTTGATATGTAAAGGACTATGTCTACCACTTTGTTCCTAGTCTTATGGTTCTATTTAATTCCTTATTTGGTTCTCTGTGGTCATTCCTCTTTTTGGTTTAAACCTTACAGCTACTTTTAATATTTCTTGGAGGGTTGGCTTACTGGATGCAAACTATCTAGATTGTAGTCTATCATAAAGAAAAGTAAATATAAAAGACAAAAATGAAACATTTCAAGTATTAACTGACATCATGAGTAAAGGAAATATAAAAATCACAGGAATCCTAGGAGCAGAAGAGAAAGAAAAAGTTATGAAAAGCTATTTAAAGAAATTATGGGGAAAAATCTCCCCAACTTGAAGAAAATGGACATAAAAATATAAGAATCAGAGACCTCCCTGGTGGTTAAAGGGGTTAAGCCTCAGTGCTATGAAGCTATCAGCAGCCATTGTAGCATGAGTTCAATCCCTAGCCAGGAAAATAACCTACATACATAGCAGACCTCTCCTGTTAGATTTAAACCAAAGAAAGGAATGAACAGAGAGAACCAAATAAGGAATTAAATAGAACCACAAGACTAGGAACAAAATGGTAGTCATAGACCTTTACATATCAAGCGTCACTCTAACATCAGTGAACTGAGCTTACCAATAAAAAGACACAGAGGAAAGGAAACAGAATCCAACCTTCTGCTAATTCCAGGAAACACAATTGAATACCAAAAATTAAAATAAACTGATGGCAAAGGGATAGAAAACAATTCTGCAAGCAAATGATACACAAATGAAGACAAATACGGCCATACTTGTAGCAGACAAAATAGACTTTCTGCTAAAAGTTCATGAAAGACAGTGATGAACACTTATCAAGTTATCAAGAGAGGCATACAAAGGGATGACATAATCAATCTATACTCCCCAAATTAAGGAACACCAAAACACATCAGACAATTACTATCAAATCTGAAAATAGACATTGGAGAAAATACATATGTGGTTGATGACTTCAACACCCCACTGTCACCAGTCATTGAGACAGAAAATAGGTAAGGATATAATCATCCTAAACAAAAAACTAGACCACATGGGTCTTATAGACATTTACAAGGAACAACACTCCCAAAAGGCTGAATACACATTTTTCTTAAGTGCACATGGATCATTTTCTAGGATTGATGACATACTGGATCACCAGATGAACATCAACAATATAAAGATTGAAATCATGCCAGCTATCTTCTCTGACTATGAAGGCACTGTACTGCAGCTATCAAAAGAAAACAAAGAAATAATTTAGTACATGGAGACTGAACAATGAACTACTAAATAGCCATGGGATTAATGAATATATCAAAGAAGAAATCAAAACAGCCTCAAGAGAACTGATGAGGACACAACTTTTCAGAACACATAGGAGCAAGAGCAGCATTAAAAAACCAGAAAGAGGCCCTCCCTGGTGGCGCAGCGGGTTAAGGCACAGCACTGAGAATCTAAAGCCGCTTCCGCATGAGTTCGATTCCCGCCTGCCCCAGAGGTGACCACATGGCGTGGCAGACCTCTCCTGACCCGCCCGCTGCTCCCCTCAGCAGTGTACTTCGTCGATCTGCCTGTTCTACTCCCCGCTCTGTCTCTGGTGAATCCTCTCACCCTCCGCATCTCTGGCCTGTACCCCAGTTCTGTATGAATAAATAAATAAATCTTTAAAAAAAAAAAAAAAAAAAAACAGAAAGAGCCCAAATAAACCACCTTGTCTTAAGTTCCTTATCTTAAGGAACTTAAAAAAATAAAAAAAAAAAGACTAAAAGTCCAAAAGCTGGTAGAAGGAAGAAGTAATAAAAACTAGATCACAAATAAAATAACTAGAAATAAAACTGGTTCTTTGAAAAAATCAACAAAGCAGATAAACTCCCAGAGAAAAAGAGGGAGGTAATTCAAATAAATAGATTCCAAAATAAAAGGAGAGAAGTTATAACAGACACTATATAAATTTAGTAGATAAAAAATTGTTACTATGAATATTTATATGCAAAAAACTCAACAACCTAGACAAAATGGACAGATTCTTAAAAGTTATACAATCATCCAACACTGAATAGGGCAGAAATAGAAAACCTGAGCAATCACAAGCACGGAAATTAAATTTAATCAAAGCTCTGTCAAAAAACAAAAGTTCAGAACCAGATGGCTTCACAAGTGAGTTCTGCCAAAGCTTGAAAGGCAAACTAATATCTACTCTGCTCAAACTTTTTAAAAAAATCAAGAGAGAGGGAATTGTTCCAAATACATTTTATGAGGCCAACATCACACTAATACCAAAGCCCAAGACAACATTGAAAAAGAAAACTATAGGCCAAAATCAGATGCAAAATTCCTTGATAAAATCTTAGCAAACCAACCCAGTGATGCATTGAAAAGATTATACCCCATGATAAAGAGGGATATATAACACAAAGATGGTTCAAGATCTGGAAACAAAACAATGTAATATATAGCATCAACAAAAAGAAAAATAAAAACCATGGTCATTTCAAGAGATGTCAGGAAAACATTCAATAAGATTCAACATCCATTTATTATGAAGACACTTGAAAAACAACAATCTTTGTTTTTAACCGAATAAAAGCCTTAATGACAAACCCACAGCTAGTATTATTCTCAATGGGGAAAAACTGAAATCCTTTACACAAATATCTGGTACAAGACAAGGATATCCATTCTCAGCACGGCTATTCGACATACTATTGGAAGTCCTAGGTAGAGCAATTAGGCAAGAGAAAGACATAAAAAGAATCTAAACTGGGAAAGCAAAAGTACAATATCATCTACAGATAATAATGATAACAGACTTAGAGAACTCAAAGACTCCACAGAAAAACCAGTTGAAACAATAAACCATTAAAATGTTAGGTTACAACATCATAACACAAAAATCAGTCGCCTTCCTGTATACAAATAATGAACTAGAAGAAGAAATTAAGAAATCATCCCATTTATCACGCAAAAAAATTAAAAATTAGGAATAAATGTAACAAAGGAGCTAAAAGACCTATACAAGGAAATCTATATAATATTGTTAAAAGATGCAAATAAATGAAAAGATATTCCCTGTTCATGGGTAGGAAGAATCAACATTGTCAAAATGGCCATCCTACCCAAAGCAATCTCTAGATTTAGTGCAATCTCACTGCATCCTACCAAGAACTGGAGCAAAGATTACTGAAATTCATGTGGAACCACAAAAGACCCCAAATAGCCAAAGTTCTCCTAAGAAACAAGGAGGAAAATAGAGGTATTTTTTGTTATTCTGGTTTAACCCACAGCGAGATGCCACCTCAGGCCTGTGAGAATTGCTCATCTTAAACAAACAACAGCAAGTACAAGTGAGGGTGTAGCGAAAAAGGAACCCTATTGCACAGTTGGTTAAAAGACTAAAAATGAATCTGCCATAAGACCCAGCAATCCCTCTCCTAGGTGTCTATCCAGATAAATACAAAACTCATTCAAAATGAAACCTGCATTCCCATGTTTATGGGAACACTGTTATCCAAGCCTAAAAGCCCCAGAACAGACAAGTGGATCATGAAGATGTGTCATATGTATTACGATGGAATTCAACTTAGCAATCAAAAGCTCAGGCCATTTGTGGCAACATGGATGGAACTAGAAATCATCATTCTAAGTGAAGTGAGCCAAAAGGAGAAAGATAAATATAGGATGTGTTCAATTATATGTGGACTATGGAGAAATCAAACAAGTGATCCAATGAAAACAAACTCTATGACAAACCTTGAAAGCAGACCAGGGATCTCAGTCTCAGGAGGGGAGGGATAGAGTGTAGGAGAAGGGGAGAGGGCACGGCAGTGGTGGGGAGACAGTGGTGACTGTGGTGGAGGACTGTGGGTGCTTTGGTGGCAGGAAATCTTTGGTGACGATGCCTGAGGGGAGAAATACTGTATTGTGAAAAAATAAGCACAGTTGTTAAACAAAAAAAAAAAATAGGTCATAGTCTATCATGAATTTAAATGGATCATTTCTTAACAAATTTATGATCATTGTATAGTCATTCACATAGAAGGTAGTCCAGACTGAGTAAAGAGAGGAGTCTATGTGGTGGTTTATGTGTTTACATTCTTGATTGAATTTTATCTCAGTTTTGAAATCTTTTTCCACTTATTTTCTGTTGCTTTGTCTTTTTGTAGTGCTTCCTGGGGGCATTTCTTTTATATTTATCATGCAATTTATCTACTGAGCTTTGTAGTTTGCCTATCTTATTTTTAGTGTTTTAAAGTACCCTATTCTTATTTTCTAGATGATGTATTTTGTCTTTGAGAAAAGAATAAATTTTGATAATTCCTCTCTGTATTATCTCTTGAAGATTTCTG